TCAAAAGAATGAAAAAAAATAGAGGAGAATGTGAAACATCTCAGAAAAAAAACTGATCTGAAAAACAGTGAGAAGAGACAACATAAGAATTTTTGCACTACCTCAAAATAATGTTAAAAACTGTCTAGATACTATAATATAAGAAATTATTGATGAACATTGCCCTGATGTTCTGGAATGAAAGGGCAAAATAGAAATAGGAAAAAACCCACCAATCAGCACCTGAAATAGATCCTAATTTGAAACTTCACAGAGACATCATTGCCAAGTTACAAAGCTCCCAGGTCCAAGAGAAAATACTACAAGCAACAATAAAAAAATAATTGCACTAAAAGACTGAGGGACTTAAAACATATTCGAGACAGCAAAGGAAATGATAAAGAGCAGATATTTAATGAATTGAAAGACTTTCAGGTATTTTTGACAAAAAGACCAGAACTTTGACACATAAATTTGACATATAAATCTAGGAGAAACATAAGATGAAACATTAAAGACCAATTTCAATGGACTCAACAAAGTAAAACTGTGTATTTCTTATGTGGGAAAATGTTATGTGTACTATTAAGAGTGGTATCATTGATTAGGTAATTTGAAAGAGCATACATAGTTAGAAGGTTTAGAGTTGAGTCAATTGTAATAAGGATGATTCTAAAAAATAAACCTGGGTTGGGAGAGGTAAAGTGGGGCAATTCTCTCATACAAGCAAGGTATGAATGGAAGAACTGTTATAGTGGATGCAGGTAAAAGGGGAGAGATGGTAGTGCTGGAACATCATTCTCATCAGTACTGGGTTAAAGAGGGAATAACATACAAGTAGATGGGTATAACGAAGTAGGAGGGTGGAGGGAGATGACAAGGGAGGGAAACTTGGAAGGGTGGATAGATTAAGGAATTGGAGGGTAAGGGGAGAGGAGGATGGAAGGATTCTTTAAAAGGATGGGGATTAGATTAGTTGTAGTTAGAAGTGAATTAGACTTCTATTATAATTAGAGGGATAGGGTAAAAAGACAGAGTAAGAAGACTATAGTGAGGAAAACTAGGATGAAGGGAAATACATAACCAATAATTATAACTTTGAATGTCAATGGGATGAATATGCCCATAAAACAGAAATGGATAGCAGAATGGATTAAAAATTAGAATCTGATCACATTTAAAAATGACAGATACATACAGTTGAAATAAAGGCCAGGAGTAGAATGTATTATGCTTCAGCAGAAGTAAAAAAAAAAAGGCAAGTGTATCAATCATTATCTCAGAAAATGTTAAAGTTAAAATATATTTAATTAAAATAGATAATACAGGAAATTACATTATGATAAAAAGTTACCCTAGACAATGGAGAAATATCAAAACTAAACCTATAAGCACCAAATGCTATAGCATTTAATCTTTAAAGAAAAGTTAAAGAATAACAGATGGAAATAGATAATACTACAACACTGGAAGACTTTAAACTTTCCATCTCAGTCTTAGATAAATCTAACCAAAAATAAATAAGAAATAAGTCAGAAAATTGAATGGAATCTCAGATAAGCTAGATATGATAGATATCTGGAGAGAACTGAATAAGAACAGAAAGGAATGCACCTTTTTCTCGGTGGTATATGGTACCATTGCAAAAACTAACCATATATTAGGACATAAAAATTTCATAGATAATGCAGAAAACCAGAAATATTAAATGTATCCTTTTTAGGTTACAATGCAATAAAAATTATATTCAGTAAAGGATCACAGAAACTGATTAAAAACTAATTGGAAACTAAACAATAATCATAAAGAAAGAGTGAGTGAAAGAACAAATCAAAACATTCAAGACTTTCGTTAAAGAGAATGACAATAATGAGACTGTTCCTGTTTCATGATTTGTTGTGGCAGAACCATCTCAAAAAATTCAGAGTCAGACCACCTCTAATCGAAGTATAGGTATTTGTTGAAATTGATGCCTCCCATGATCCCATGATCCTCTAATATCTAATTCCTTACCAAACCTCTCCTGCCTTTTTAATATTCATCATTTCTGTTATGTAATAGCATCTTTACCCTATAAAAATCTGTCTTGCTTTCACTAAAGTCACTGGTTCCTCTTGGAATTTAGCCTCCTTCATGGGAAGTATCAATCTCAATAAATGCCTATACTTGGACTACAGGTGGTCTGACTGAATTCTTTGAGATGGTTCCATCAACGACAAGAGAAGGAAATGTCAAACTGATATGGTGATGGACCTGGATGCCTAAAGGAAAGGACCATGTCTCTGAAAGCAACCCAGTCACATAGAGGCCTGACCCTGTTATTCCCCTGATAAAAGCTATCAGTACAGGCTCAAGGTGCCTTTCCATAGGCATATACTGACCACTTTTTAATTCCACCAGGTCACCTAATTAGCCTTTGTGACATCCTTTTCACTCTCTCACCTGGCCCACTCCACTCTATTTATCACTCCTTAATCCCACCCAGATCCTTCTACTGTTCCTTTTAAAACAGCATCAACCTCATTATTTTGCAGGTTCCTGAAGCACCTTACCTGTCTTCTTGACATTACACTAAACTTTATCACTTGATTGGAGGACGATTTGAGTCTATGAATTCATTGCAGGCCACTATGCCTTTTTTCCCTAATATTTTGAAGTCCACAGCACCCATAAACTACGTCAAAACCACTCCAGTCTCTTTGCCAAGAAAAGCTTAAATGGGATCATGAAAAATTGGACATGACTGAAGTGAATGAACTACTGAAACGTTATAGAGGGCAACCTCAATTTTTTGTGTGTTGCAGTACCCTGAGTAAGATTGGTAAAGGCTACAGACTCATTCTCAGAAAAATACTTTAAAATGTGTAAAATAAAATACATAGAGTTTCAAAAGAAATTGATTATATCAAAATACAATTATATAAGAATATATCAAGATACACTTACTTTTATATATACATATATATGTAAACATGTGTGTGTCTATGTTTGTATATGGATCTCACATTAAGAAGGTGAGTGCAAAGATAATCAAATCAGGTGAAGTACATAGTGAAGTAGAAAGAAACTTTTAAATTTAATATAGAATTTGAAAAAAACTATATGAAATAGAAGTTCACAGTTTTGTATACCATCTTATTTTTAAATGTTTCATATTTTCAAAAAGTTTATAATATAAGAAAAAATATTAAAAGAACCATAAGGACAATTTTTAAAGAAATATAAAGGTGAATATACTAATGAAGATGAAATCAAGGCAATTTAAAGGACTTATTTTGCCCAAATACATGCCAATAAATTTAACAGTTTAAGTGAAATGGAAGAATACTGAAAAATATATAAACTGCCTAGGTTAAAAGAAGAAGGAACAGAATATTTAAACAAACCTATTTTTAGAAATAGAAATTAAACAGGTTATAAATAAGTTTTCTAACAAAAAACTCACCAGGATTAGATCAATTTACTGGCCCTCCTCCACTCTTGCTTCTCCTCCTATCAATTCTTCCTTTCCTGCCTCATTTGGATGAGGTAATTACTCCTTTTGATCTCTCCCTTAACAGTTTAATTTTTTTAGAATGACCCCATCATACACAGCTTAGCCTAAGCCTTTCTTTCAAACTACTCAAATTAATATGTCTATCATAACAGTGCTGATAACATTTTCACATATAAGAAGTAAAAAAAATTGGCATATTTAGATCTACTAGGTGGAGAGTTATGTACCTGTGAACTCACTGAAACACTGTTCTAAGGCATCATATTTAAACGCAAAGATTCAGGAGGATTTCCCCTTCCCCAGCAAAAAGTCTGGGAACATCACAAATAAAATCTATAAAATAAGATGTGTCCATCCAAGAAGTAACTCTATGGTGGGGTTTTTTTGTTTGTTTTTTACTGTTATTAGATTCCTCAAAGAGTAATGTCGTTTCAGACCCTAAATGTCAGCAAGATTATTATTCTTCTGATGTTCTCATTCATCCAAGGCTACTTTATTTCAGCAAAAGAACTCAAGGGATATGCTGTGATGAGTGTGACTAGCTCAGGGCACCTGGCTGAGAGCATGGTAAATGGAAGGAGATAAAACTCTGATTCAATTCATTCAGAAATGAATCTGAGAGATTGCTTCTGATCAACCAGATATTTTGAAAAAGGCCCATGTAAAGTGTCTGTCAATTTATACTTTTTCTAATACAGGAGACATTTGGAACAGTCTCTATTTATACTGGGGTAAGTAGAAAAATGATCCCTGTATAACAGCTAGATTACAAGTCAGAACTTGTGAAATGAACTACTTGGACCCCAGGAGCATGAGAGCTTCCATCCTTCCTGCTGGAGTGATGTGAATGGAAATCCTCCACTTTTCCCCAGTCTCTTACATTGACATCATCTCACAAAGGCTTCTGCTTAATGCAACTTCTGGCAACTCCACAGTCGTTGTAGGAATCATGATTGTTGACATAGAGTCACACAGGCTGGGACACAACAACAGCTCAGTGGAAATCCCTGGGAATCCTTCCCTTCTTCCCAGTGTACTCTGCTGAGAATACCTGGACAGGGAAAGAGAAAAGAAAAAAACATGTTTATCATTCAGACCAGGGAACTCAGGGGCAGAGCCCCAAAGAGGATTGGTCCCAGAGCCCCCATTGTTTTGGCTCATTCTGATTGCATCTAGGGTAGGAAGAGGAAGGTGGTAATGACCCTATTCATCTCTTAAAATAAATATGGCTAGAGCAATAATTAAGCAATATCAAATCCTTATAAATATTTCCTGCTTCTTCCCTCATTACCCTTGTTTTGGGCAAGGCTCTGAATCATTTTCCATTCATCTTAACAGGTGTCAGGAAGAAAAGTGAAATTCAGACTTTGCAAAAGAAACAAACATTTTCCTGAAAGAGAGGTTCACCATTAAAAAGTTCTTCACAGTCGTTGTTCTGCTGTGACCTGATCTGATCTACAGCACAGCCCCACTTTGATCTGACTGCTATTTGTCCATGTGTTAGAGCTGAAAAGAGGTGTTCCTGATGCTCTCCCTTCTTTTCCTGTTTCTGGTGCTGGAGCTTCTCCTGTCTGTGGGTCATAAAGAAACTGGTCTCTGCTCACTGGAAAGAGATTTAGATCCCACCTACTACAAGGATGGAGATTATATTGTGGGGGGATTTTTCCCTTTATTTATATATGAAGTGGTCATGGAAGACAGGTGGAAATATTTTGAGTCTCATCCTAACAATTTTTTGAAAAATTACCAGTAAGGTTTTGTTTTTATTTTCATTTTAGGAATTATTTTTAGGGGGAGGGTGATTAAAAAGTAACTTTTAAAACATGTGCGTGGACAAAGTATCATTTCCTGTCCTGTTTTCTGCCTTTCATGCCTTTCATGTCTCAGGCTGTTTCCTTTTAAAATTACATAGGAGAAATAACCCCTCTCTCCTCTCCTTCACCACAGACATATATACACACTCTGCCCCACAGAGTAATCAGCCAGGATCTTTCTTATTTTTGTTCTGTTTCTGCAAAGGTTCTGGCAGAGAATGACTTGGCAGCTACCTCCCACAGGAAGTCAAAGTGCCATTTTCCTTGCCTGTCCTTACACTAGTAACAGCTGACATTCTTGGAGAATCCAAAGGCCAGATATATGTTATGAATCTATAATATATTTTCATTTCAGCCCCTTCTGGGCCCTGGGAAAAAGTTATTACAAGTCAATCATTGTAGCTTCTTAATTATGCCATGGGTTTGATAATACACCCACAGAGAGCCTCATACTTGTGTATATGTATATGTGTATGAATTTATGTGTATATGCATATACATAAAATATAGAGTTGTGACATCATCTTATACATAATTATTATAAAATTACAAATATATGATAGTTATGCCTATATTTATATATAACTATGTATGAACACAGCTATTAATGAATGTAATTATAGATGATAGCTTTTTATGTAACTCAATATTTACATGTCTCTGAGTAAATAGGATGCTGACTGGTATCATAACAGTAATGTACTATCTTAGAGTGTTGCCTGCTGAACTGAGACATTAAGTAAATTGCTGATGATTATACAACTAGTGTTTTTCAGACAAGACTTTTAGGTCAGGTTTTTCTGATTCTCAGTCCAGTCTGCTACCTCTGTCTGTCTCTGTCTCTCTATCTCTGTATTTCTCTGTCTCTGTCTCTGTCTTTCTTCCATTATTAAGGTTCAGAACTATAATTGTTTTCTATATAAGCAGTTTGGTAGAGTGAGTTCATTCTCAATATTTTATGCTTTTAATATTATTGCTTTCCACATTTAAAAAATAAGACAAAATTCTCTCATATTCTACTAGGATCAGGTTTCTGAATTACTATATATATGTATGTGTATATATATATATATATATATTTCACTTGATCCTCATAATTTTTATTACATAGATGCTAATATCACCCAAATTATACAGATGAGGAAACTGAGACAGATAGTAGTTGGGAAAGTTGCCTAATTTCATAAAACTGTTGTCTGATATGATAATTTAGTTCAAGTTCTCCTTAGTATAAGTTCAGAACTTTATCCCCTGTGCTACTTAGCTGCCCTGAATATTTGGTTGTGCTATTCTTTTTTATTTATTCTCATTTTGTTATAACTGGACATAGTTCTATTTAATATTTCATTTGATTTTTATCCATCTTCTTTTTAATTCAGTTAAATGAAAGTTTATAAAGGGATCTTTGTCCCCGCTCCAGTAAATCCTCCTCTATCTATGTCACACACCTATTCTATAAATTCCTGTGCCTCTTTCTTAACTCCAGGATTGAATAAAAAGTAATTCATCTGGATTTTAAAGCCCTTCACTACCCACTAGGTTGCCACCTTTCCGGTCGTCTTATACTTTACTCCCTTCTACATATGCTAGGATCCCAGCTTCAGCAGTCCACCTCCTGGTCCTCACACAAGACACTCCAATTCTCTACTGTTCTATTTTCACTGGCTGCTTCTCATATCAGGAAGGCTTTCCTTTTTCATCCCCGTATTCAGGATTCTCTGTACTCTTTTCCAGCATGCTTCAGCTTAAATCTAACCTTCTACAAGAAGTCTTTCCCTAACCAGCTTATTACGATGGTATTCCTAAGAGATTATTACTAAGTGATATTGGGCATAATTTTTGTACAATATTTTTCCATTCTTTGACTGTGGCCTACAGCAAGCAATTAAAAGCTTTGATTGGATTTTAAAAATTGGCTATTAGTCTTTTTCAAAATATTAGCATTTTGTGGATTTTTAAGTACTTTATACTATTTTCCAATTTCTATGTTTTCTCTATTATTTAAAAGACTTACTCTTTTGTACTTGTTTTTTCCAAAACTTTTCTATATTTGACTTTGGCAAGTCAAGTCACTTTAATAGATACCAATTTCCCTTTAGGTTAACTATGTAGATTGGAGTAAATGAACTCTTAGTTACATTCTTTTCACAAATTCACAGTACTATATTTAAATATACTGAATGTAATGTATGTTGTAAATTTTATTTAGAATAACAACATACTCTTATATTGCATATGTGGATTAACTATAAGGAAAAATATCGATATTGCTATCGGTCTTATCTATATCTTTATGAAGCAGCTAGGTGGTGGAGTAGGTAGATTGCTGAAGCTAAAATGAGAATAACTCGTTTTCCTTACCTCATATCTGTCCTTAGACACTAACTGGCTCTGTGAGTCTGGCCAAGTCACTCAACCCTATTTGCCTCAGTTTTTCATCTATAAAATGAGCTTGAGAAAACAATAAGAAAGCAGTACCTATGCCAAGAAAAGCTCACATGGGGTCACAAGGAACCATACATAATTAAAATGAGTAAACAGCAATATATTTATGTATATATAGAGAGACAATGAGAAGCAGAGATAAGAGGATGAAAGAAAGAAAGAAGTTAAGAGTGAGAAAGGGAGGAAGAAGGAGAGAGAGAGAGAAAGAGAGAGAGGAGAGAGAGAGGTAAATTAGGACTTAGCTCTGCTTCTAACACTGATATCTACTAGCTTTAAAACAATGGGCAAATCATTCATCTTCTTAGTGGCCTGGAAACTGTCTATATCTATAAATGTATTTGAATTGGTTGAACTAATTTCTAAAATGAATGAGAACTACCAATCCCAAAGAAATAACAAATCTGAAAATACATACTAATGTCACTATCTAGTGCATTTTAGAGATTCATGGTACAGGAATAACTCAACCTGATGGTATTTTTTTTTATTTGCCCCAGCTATGGCCTCATTTACCAAATGACATCTTCTCGATGCTTTGGGTCAAAGCCAAAAATATGTGTCATTACCTTATTATATCTCTTAAGTGCGTGTATATTAAGATAGATGAATTGCATTTAGTAATGACTTCTGAAGATGAAGGGTACACTGTTTCCATTTTCATATGGTTTATTTATCTCTGTCATTTAGATTCTGAGAAAAAAAAGAAAATACTACAGTCCTCTTATACTCAGCTCCACCCCTATCTAGCTAACTGCCACATTCTAGACAGAAGTATAATAACCCTGATCTATTTTTTGTTCTTTATATATCAATTTTGGCACCAACATACTCCTTAGAAATTCTGGCTTGGCACAGTACCAGATAGAAAAGTAATTAATAAATGCTTCTTGGTGTACTGAACTCCATACAGCCAACTCAACCAAATTCATCCCAGTACTGTTATGATCAATAATACTTTACAATATTAAAAAAAATCAGTCAATCGAAACAGTTTAATGGAAGAAAGTATCATATTAGAATAGTCATCTAATGATAAGCACCAAAAATCATGTTTATCCTTTTGGGTTGATCTTTAAGAAACTACAACTATCATGCCTGTCATTGCAATCTAACTACACAACAGCAGAGTTTTTGGCTTATGCAAGCAAAGTAAGTGGAGTCATGTCCACCAAGCAAAGGAATTAGTCTTTCTCCATGATCATGATTTATATTGGCTTCTATTCACAACCCAAGTCCTATGCTCTTCTCCTGTTAGTTGCTGTTGTAGAAATTGACTCCATCACAGTGATACTTCCCAACAATCCTTACTGTCAGAACTAGCCCAAAACTGATGATGGTCAGGTTGTGACACAGTAGGATGTCTCCAAGTGTTTCAAAGACTCAGGGTGACTCGAAGTCAGTTAGATAGATTTATAGTGGGTTTGAGGTTTCATGTTCTGGTGAGTGGCTAACTTTCTGAGAGGAACTTGCAAGTTCAGTAAGGTAACACAGACAATTTAATAGAGTATAAGAAGCTGGTTACACAATCAAAATTTATTTGGAATATTAGAATATAATAGATATTTAAAAGGTAAGAGGGGTTTGCTAAGGGATTAGGGGGACAGGGCTTAAAGTTGAGCTGTAAGTAGTAAGGGATTTTATGGATATAATAAGTTGGAGCAGAATAGTCAGTGTGAACTGGATGTGTAAGGTTAGGGTTATCCATCTTGGTCCAGTGTGGGACACAGAGAAAAACACCATTAGGTGTTTTTGCTGTATTGTTAACTGTGCTGGTCACATCTATTGTCTTATAAACCTCATTGGAGAACTCTTGATCTAATGCATAATAGGAAGATGTGGGCACTGACAAAGCTTTCAGGGGGGGTCAACAAAACAGAAAGGGACAATTTTCTTGGGTATATGTCATGTAGCTTGTGGGAAGGGAGGCTGTGAAGTTACCACGGTTGACCTTCTTTTAGGTCTCCTATGAGGCTGATAGTGGCAGACCCAGCAATCTCCAATGCTCTCTCATCCCAAAGTGGCATCTATCATGACCATGGAGTTCCTTGCTCATGGTTCACTTTCTTCAGTGGAGTAGGGGTCAGGCCAAGCCTGTGAAGAAGGCCAGCAGGCCAGGAAGAGAAGAATAAACATGGAAGAGTACAGTATTCAGGCATGCCAGCATAGCTCTGGTCCCAGCAAACCAAGACTAGGCCTTGTGAGTGACTAAATCAGCAGTTGCAATGGCAATGGCTGCTTCTAGGACTGCCCAGCCAATAGTTGGTCATGGTTTCCAGATTCAGGGCAAGGAAGAACAGGAGCATAGTAGAACTTTTGGCCATAGTGGAGGGGGGACTCTCTTTACAATTCCAGGACAGAAAAGAGTGCTTGTCATCATTCACAGTCCAGAGTATAGGCCAGATAAATAGTAAACACCTCTCCTTAGTTCATATCACCTTGGAAAAACTGAAATCTTATGGTTTCCAAGAAGTGTCTCAGAAAAGAACTGCACAAAACCCCTGTAGCTTGGGACAGCGTACACTCCACACTGGAAGCAGAGCCCTACCTTAACAAAGAGTTAAAATAGGATGGAGGGAAATACAATTAGCAATACAAATTGTGAAAAAAAAATTAAGTGTACTTATAACAAAATATACTACCCATCCAGGGACAAAGAACTAATGTTGTCTGAATGCTTATTGAAGTTTATTTTTTTTACTTAATTTTTCTTGAATTTTTTTGTCTTTTCTTTCCCAACATGACTATTATGGAAGTTTTTTTTTAATAACTGCACATGTATTAAAATATATATAGCCTTATCAATAGAGGGATGTATTGGGGAGGAAGAAAGGGAGAGACCCTGGAAGTCACTGTTTTAAAAATGAATGTTAAAAATTACTTTTACATGTAGCTAGGGAAAATAAAATGATAAATAATTGTTTTTTTAAAATGAAATGTCTCTCTTTCTTGTTGAGAAAAAAAGTAACTTTACTTGTCCCTTTAAGAGATAACCATTCTATATTTTATGGAAGAAAAAGCAGCATGATTCACAGTGTTTATCCCTGTCATGTATTTCTCTTGGCAGAGACTAGTAGATTTAATAATATTTAAGGACAGAAAATAGAGATAGATAGATAGATAGATAGATAGATAGAAAGGTATATAGATTGAGATATAGGTAGCAACACAAATGGAATGTTATATTTACATATATATGCATGCATGTGTGTGAGTATATATGTGTACATGCATGTTTGTGTACATGCTTGTTTGTATACATACATACACATATATTTGTAAACACACACATACACACATGAATATATACATTACTATGAGGGTGAGATTACTAGAATAGGGTAAAACAGTGTTTAAATAAGGACTTGAGAGTTAGTAAGGAGATTCACATTAGGTTCCTTCAACTACACATTCTAAAATTAGAATAGTTACTAGGTATTCTATTCATGAAAGAAGAACCACATCAAGGATAGAAGAATTTCCTGACTCCTGACACTATTGGTCTCAATTGAGATTTCAGGAAAAGCACTACTATCAAGTCCTGGCCTTGGTGTTTGCTGTAAAGGAGATCAACAAGGACCCCAACCTGTTACCTAATACTACTCTTGGATTCAACATCATTGACACCCACATCAGTGATGTCAGAACCTTGGAGAGCTCCTTAATGTTGTTGTCAGGACAAAGACTGGCTGTTCCAAATTACCAATGTGAGAAGCAAGGAAAATCCTTGGCTGTCATTGCAGGACCCTATTCTGAATTGTCAGTCAAAATCACTACCATGCTTGAGCTCTACAAGTTTCCACAGGTAAGAATCATGAGAAAAACAGCCCATGTTGTCTGGAGAACATTGATGTCTGGAAGGAGGTAACACCAAGGACTTGATGCTGGATATGTGACATGGCAAACATTGAGAAATCTTGTGTTTGGGTATTATTCTTCAGCTAGTGCTCAAAGCAGGAAGATACAGAGGTAAAATATTGAAAGGAGTGATCACCATTGCCCATTCTACTAGGATTTATCCCTGTCAGTATGTACTGATGTGTATAACTATGTGTTTATCTATCTATCTATCTATCTATCTTTCTTTCTATCCATTTCTTATTCTATTCCATTAACGCAAAAATTATATTACAATTACATTGCAATGATTACATTCTTGTTAGCATTTATTTATTATATGCAAATATACATGTGTAACTATATTTTTACATATATATAACCATATAGATGGAATCTTGATGGCACAATAGATAAAGAACTGGGCTAGCAATCAGGCAGACTCATCTCTCATAAATTCACATTTGACCTCAGACACTTACTATCTGTATCCCTTTGGACAAGACACTTTACCCTGTTTTCCTCAGTTCCGCATAAGTAAAATGAGCTGGAAACAGGAAAAACAAACTCTTTAATATCTTTGCCAAGAAAATCCAAATGAGGTCATGAAGATTTGGAAATGACTGAAACAACTGAAGAAAAAGAAAATAAATACATATGCCAATGTAATTCATTACAATATATTGTAGCTGAAATGTATATACATATATGTGTATACATATGTTTCTCCGTATATGTACTTGAATGTGTGTACCAATGTAATTCAGCCAAAATCAATGTACACTTATAAAATTCCACATACATGTAATGTATTCTCAGTTGTGCTCAATGATTCAGGTAGCATGCAGAGGTCAATGGGAAACATATATATCTATATCTATATCTATATATATATAATATACATATATAGACACATATATATACATATATATGAATTATCTGAGACCTTGACTAACATATCATGCAAAATACTTTAACGTATTATAGAATTGCAAGGAAAATTGAGACAAATGTGAGCTACAGAGAAAAAGTTATCTCCAAAAATCTGTGAATAAAGGAAAAAAAACTCTCTTGCAGTTGTATTAATGCCAATTTCTTCAAAGATGAACACATGGTCACAGGAGCCAGTAACTTATTTAGAGATGAGATCAGCCTTTAAAAATGGAGAGGAAGATAATAACAGGCTGAGAAGATGGAGGGTCAGATTCCTGGAAAGTTGCTTGGTCTTTGCAAACAGAAAGTCAAAACAAGATGGAATATTATCAAAATAGAAAGATTCACATTCTGTTATATGGTTTTGGCTATAGCATACTTTAATTTCAACAGGGATTATGTTTCTTTCTTGTTCAGATAACCTGTGGCCCATTTGACCCAATTCTGAGTGACAAGGTCCATTTTCCAAGTGTTTATCAACTAGCACCTAAGGATTCCAAACTTGCCCTGGGAATGGTCCAATTACTGGTGCATTTCAACTGGACATGGGTTGGACTGTTAATAACAGACAATGCCAGGGGTGAAACATTCCTCTGGGATAACAGAGAAGAGATGGCCAGGAAAGGTGTCTGTCTGACCTTTATGCTTAAGATTCCCCCCAATGAGAATTACAGTCTTTTTCCCCATTCTGAAGTCATGGGAATACTTCATGCAACTTCTGCCAATGTAATCATTTTTTATGGGAGTGATAATGTAGTTTTTGATTGGGAATTTGAAAAAGAAGATTACTTGAGTTATAATAAAGTGTGCATTACCACCTCTCAATGGGATTTTAGCATGAGACCCAATACCCTGCTTGTTGAAAGTTTCAGTAAAAGTCTGATCTTTTCAAGTCAGAGGAAAGAGATTCCAACTTTCATACCTTTCATGAGGGCAATTAAACCTGCCAAATACCCAGAAGATATTTTCCTTAAAACATTTTGGAGCTTATTTTTTCCATGTCCACTTAATGAAAAACAATGGAAGGAAGAGGATTGTTCAATAAACACATCTTTAGAGATGCTGCCTTTGCGGAATTTTGACATGTCTATGTCTAGCCGCAGTTACAACATCTACAATGCTGTGTATGCTGTGGCCTGGGCTCTCCAACAAATGCTCTTAATTAGATCAGAAATGTAATACACAAAAGATGAAGGCAGACTAGTTCTATATCCCTGGAAGGTAAGTTTCCATTTAGAACAACAGGGAGTCCACATGTCCAAACGTCTATCTCATTCATAAGACTGGAAAAAGAGCTACTATCAGCAGAAAACAGGGAGTTAGTTACTTAGCTAAGTGTATGGTCAACAATTTTGTCCAAGAACCAGGCTTACATTTTTTCTGCTTAAATGATGAAAGTAGTGGCTCTTTCAAAGATCCCTCTCAGTCATGTTTAGAACTTTCTCTCTTAATCAACAGGAGCTTAGGAGGGACTGTTTGTCTGTGGTTTGTAGTTCTAGACCATTCAGAGAGACTGTAAAGAGAACTATGAGTGTCTGAAAAGTGATAATAAAGCCTTTACATATACATTCTCTTCTACCTCATCCAAAATTGTGGATTGTCAAAAGTCAGAGGACTCACAACCTAGCTATTTCCCATCCATCACATGTAGCATATCCACTCTGAGTAAGGACCCGACTGTCAAAGGGATGATTGGCACAAAATGATATTTGACACAATGATGTCCTGACAGTGGTAGATGTAGGATCAGGTAATGGGTTTAAAAATTTTAAAAATGGTTTGGAATATCAAAGTTAGGCAGGTTCAGCCCACTAAAGTTCCATGGGCTAATCTGTCCTTAAACCTGCTTTTTCTGCAGTCAAGAGACTAAAAAAGGGTACATAATGTTCAGTTCCAGTTATCGTGAGTAAAGATGAACATTGATATGTTGGATGTTGTGAAGAGGAGTGTACCCAGAGAAAGAATGGTCTCACAATCATGACATACAAGGATCAGATGAATGAAATTGGCATTTTTACCTTTGAGGGGAGAGGACTCAGGGAAAGTTGATGTTCAAGTATCTGGATATATACCATGTTATGGAGGGTTAGTATTGTCCCATTTGATAACAGCAGGCAGAACTAGGAGCCAGGGCTAGAAGTTAAAAAGAGAAAAACTTTAGGTTTGATATCAAGAGTAATACAATGATAGATGATTGAATACATAAATGAATGAGAGCAGCAGCAACATTGTGAAAATTAGATTTGGACAAAAATATAATGAGCTGCTTCTTCCGATTTCTTTCCTTGGGTTTCTTTCCTTGGAGGTCTTCAAGTAGAAGCTGGACAATAATTTATTGAGTGCTGTACTGAGAATTACTTTCATATGTGGCATTACATGGTAGCCTACATGGTTCCTTCTTAGTTCCAAGTTTTATAATTCAGTGGGGTAAATGGATTCCCATGATTGAAAAGTAATAGTTATTATCATTATCACCATCATTGTCATTACTATAGAACCATTTTGTGCCTCGGTTATTTCATTTGCAAATATTTAATAGAGCCCTGTGACACAGACCACACAATTTGGTTATGAGGATAATGCATTAGGAAACTGAATGTGAAAGAGGTAATGAATTTAGGGTCTGTGCTGCTCTCTGTGATCTCTGAAATAACTGAGAACAAGAGAGGAATCAGCATTGAAGAAGGGCAAATCTTGTTTTTATTGAAATAAAATAGAAGAGAGATTATGAAAATAGTGGACCATTGAGCTTGACCTAATTAGCTGGATGGTAAATTTAAAGTGTACTGTTTAGTGAAGAGTAGGAACCATATCTAAACTGAAAAGTTCTCCAGCCAAGATGGATTCCCAGAGAAGAAGCAAACATACAGTTCCTAATTACTGACTCCAGCAAAATTCTGAGGTTCATAGCAGAGTGAAAAAATATCCAAGCAATCAAATTAAAATCTACCCTTATTTCTTCTATGCTAGGACCTTAGGGACAAACAAAAAGATACAGGCCATAGGAAAATGGGCTTCCAACAAAAGGAGTCTCAGTGAAGTGCAGAATCCCAGTGTGACCAGGCACATTACAAAGCAAGTTTAAAAAACAGCTTTTTTCCAGAAACAACAAGAGTGGAGAACTTCCATGAGAAATCTCAGTAGTTTGAAAAGACTAACATGGTCAGAATGTCCCAAAACTCCAGGCAGTTGTAATGACAGTGCCATTGAACCCACATATGGACAGCCCAGGACTAGTGGCTTTAATATTCCACAATAGGCTGCCCTAGATAACAAGGAAGGCACTGGAGATCCAAGGTTTTAACCTCTAAGATCCAGGGAATCCTCATTCTTGGAGGCCAGTGTCATCTCAGAAAAATAAAGCACCTAGAGTGAGACTTAGGAGGGCTACATATCCTACTCAAAACCTAAGCAGGGGTCAGATCCTGGGCCTTACAAAAAGATTCAATTTAATGTCTAAAGCTAAAGAGATGAGCAAATCAAAGAATATGCATATACATGCATGCATACACATATACTTGGACTTCATGTACATAAATATGTAATGTATGTATATATGTATATGCATCAGTGTGTATATGTATATAAATTGCAGTAAATCCTAAATTATACTTCATGAAATCATGATGAAAAACTATTCATGCCTATTAGATCCAAAGGTAAAAGTGGAATTATAAAAGTTCATCAATAACTTTGTAAAAGCAATACCAGGTACCAAGGAAAGAGTTAGGATTATGAAACATCTAAAAATTCTATAAAAAAGAAGAGAAGAAAAAATAAAAAAATGCAGAAAAGAAGAGGAGATCTTAGAATACAATATTCCTAAAAGCAAATATATAAAGGCTTACAAAAAGAATGACTGAATCCTGAAAAACCTGAATATAACACACACAAGCATATGTGAGTATGTATCAGCTTTTCACACATGTGAATGTGCGTATATATTACCTACACAGACAAAATTACAAACACAAAGAGAAATAGAACGAGAAAAGGAGAAGAAATATAATGAGAGAGAGAGAGAAACAGAGAGGGGTGGGGGGGAGTCATGCAGCTATGCAACTACTCAGTGTCTCAGGAAGGATTTGAAGTTAGTTCTTCCTGACTTACAGAGACTCTTGGACAAATCAACCAACTTCTCCTGTCCTCAGTTTCCACATCTGTACAATGGGGAAAATAATAGCACCAACCTTATGGGACACAATCAAATCAAATAACTTATGTACAGAACTTTCCACTACTTCTATTGAATTCTTGCCCAAAGTAATAATTATGATGATCACCTGAATTCAATTCATCCTTCCATCCATTTAAATTTACTGACACCCAAAATATCCACCTCCTGTTTGAGCACATCCAACTTATTTTACTTCCTGGGCAAAGTGACTTCCTGGGAGTCACACAAGTAGTAAGTATCTGAGGCCAGATTTGAACTCAGGGAGCTTAATCTTCCTGACTTTAGGTCTGGCATTCTATCCATTGCACCAGGTAGATAGCTGGTTGGTAAAAGTGAGGGAAAAATATGGAATCAAGGGCACATTAAGTGAAATGTTGGCAAGGAAAAGGGTCACTTTGCTCTCCTAGACTGGAGAAAATGAGGAGAGAGCAGGGTGTGATGTCAAGGGTTTTGAAATAAAGCTAGATGTTATAGGAAATAGAGTACCAGACTTGAAGTAAGGAAGACCCATGTTTAAACCATTCCTCAGAAACTTGTTAGCTATGCAAACATGGCTAAGTCACTTCAGTTTTGGACCCTCACCCTTGAAACCAGTAAAATGTTGGGGTTGAAATAAGTTGTCCGCAGGTCTTTTCCATGTATATCCCTAATATATTCTGATTCTATGAGAAGAAACATCTCACATTTTATGTCCTCAATATTCTCAGTAAAGATGAGGTCTTGAGCATAGGAAAATGGGATAAGGAGATACAAAAGGGTTAAGGAGAACAGAAAACTAATGTTGACAGTGAGACAGCAAATTAATTGTAGATGAATTAAAGGATTTCCTGGATGCTTTGAGTGTTCATATGTAGTATGCTACTATCAATCTATAATGTACTTAGTTCAATGGCTTGTGTGACTGTCTCCAGCTCTGATCACCAGAAGGTGAGTTGGCCTGAAGAAAGTTTGTGGAGTGAATATTCCACAGATGAGGCTTGGAAGAGATGAATAGCAATCATAAAAGTGACCAAAGCATTTGAGGGCATAAAATGAGAAAAGGCTGAAAAGTTTAACAATGAAGGTGAGATCAGAAAGTCAAGAAAGGAAAGCAATCATCACAGCTCTAATATCTTGAAAAAGAACTGAGAGATAAAGCAATTAGAAGTCCCCTAAAGCTGATTCAAAAAGGTTTAAGAAAAGACACGGTGGGAAATAAACCAATAGAGAGTTTTGTTCAAATAAATGAAATGAAAGAGTTTAAATAAGAAAGTTCAGTCCTTGGGGGTTTCATAAGGATGAGACACAAATTTTTATTATCCCTATCCATGACTGAGAGAAAGGAAATAAACTCTTGACAATTCAAAATATTTTGGGTGTCCCTTCACTGAAGAATCACTTCTACTTCTCTTCCCACTCAGCTGCACTCCTTTCTTAGAAACATGCAGTTTAACAACAATGCTGGTGACCAGGTGTCCATGGATCAGAAAAGGATTCCCATGGCAAACTATGATATTATCAATTTTGTAAACTTTCATAATGGTACTGAAGTGCTGGTGAAAATGGGAGAGTTTAAATCTCATGTTCCCTTTGGTGAAGATTTTTCCAATCATGAAAATGTCACAATGTGGAATGAATTTTATATAAAGGTTAGTAGAAACTCACATGTTGGTCTTTCAGTGGGTATAGATATGACAATCTATTAATGGGAATTTTTTTTCCTTTTGTTTCCTGATGAGATACATACATATATGTAGATATAGATAAAGATTTAGATTTAGATTTAGATTTATATATGCATACACATGCACACACTCACACATGTATACATATATATATTTATATATACATACATATATCCTTTTACCCCAATTATATATACCATTTGTAACATTCATTTAAAAAAATTGAGTTCTATACTATCTCCCATAATTTTTCTCCTCTCCTCATTTTGAAAACAATAATTTTTATAGGTTATACATGCGCAGTTACACAAAACATATTTCCATGTTGCTCATGTTGTAAAAGTAAACAGAAGCAAAAAAATAAAAGAAAAATAAAGTAAAGAAAAGTATTATTTTATCTGCATTTAAACTGCATCAGTTCTTTCTCTGGAGATGGATAGCATTTTTCATCGTGTGTCCTTCACAATTGTCTTGGATCATAGTACAGCTGAGCATGACTGAATCATTCATGGTGGATAATCATACAAAATTTCTGATACTGTATACAATGTTGTCTGCTCATTTCATTTTGCATTAGTCTATATGTCCTTCCAGGTTTTTCTGAGACTATCCTGCTCATCATTTCTTGTAGCATAACAGTATTCCATTGCAATCTTATGCAACAATTTGTTCAGTCATTCCCCAATTGATGGAAATCCCCTCAATTTCCAATTCCTTGACACCACTAAAAGAGCTACCATAAATATTTTAGTCCATAGAGGCCATTTTCCTCTATGTTTTTAATCTTTTCAGGATACAGACCTACTAACGGTATTACTTGGTCAAAGCATATTCATGACTTTATAGCCATCTGGGAATAGTTCCTTATTGCTCTCCAGAATAGTGAAATTAGTATACAACTTCACTAACAGTACATTAGTGCCTCAGTTTTCCCATATCCTCTCCAAAAATTGGCATTTTCCTTTTCTGTCCTATTAGCTAATCTCATTAATTTGGGATGATACCTTAGAGTTTTTTTATTTGCATTTCTTAATCAACAGTGTTTTAAATCAGTTTTTATATAACTATAGACAGCTTTGATTACTTCATCTGAAAACTGAATGTTCCTATCATTTGACTATGTAGCAATTGAAGAATGGCTCTTATTTCTATGAATTGGAATCAGTTCTCCATATATTTGGGAATTAAGTCTCTATCAAAAAAGACTTGCTTTAAATTTTATTCACAGTTATAATTACTAAGAGCTTTTCTCCATCTTATCCCCCACATTTATTCTATCTTTCTCTCCTTTTACCCTGTTTATTCTCAAAAGTATTTTACTTCTGACTTTTACTCCCCAATGTGCTTTCCCTTCTATCAGTCCCTCTTTCTCTTATCTCTTTCCCTTGCTTCTTTCCTTTCTGGTAAATAGATTTCTATACTCAACGGAGTGTAGATATTATTCCCTATTGGAGTCAATCCTAATGAGATTAAGTTTACTCAGTTCCTACCACCTTCCCCAATTTCCACTTCATTGTAAATGCTTTTTTCCTCCTTTTTTGTGTCAGATAATTTACCCCATTCTTATTATTTTCCCATTTTCCCAATGCATTCCTCTTTCTCACCCTTTAACTTTATTTTCATTTTTAGACAATCATTCCATCAATTCAACTCTCACTCTGCCCTTTGTCTATGTATACTCATATACTCCTTCCAACTGCACTAAGAATTAAAAAGTTCTTAGGAGATAAAAGTATCTTCTTCCCATATAGGAATGTAAATAGTTCAACTTTGTTGAATTCCTCCTGATTTCTCTTTCCTAGTTCCCTTTCTGTGCTTCTCTTCAATCTTATATTAGAGAGTCAAATTTTCTCTTCAACTCTGGTCTTTTCATCAGAAATATTTGAAAGTCTGTTTCACTGAATGCCCATTTTTTCCCTTAAAGATTATACAGTTGTTCTGGGTAGGTCACTCTTGATTGTAATGCTAGCTCTTTTGCTCTCTGGAATATCAAATTCCAAGCCCTCCACTCCTTTAATTTAGAAACTGCTAGATCTTCTGTTATCCTGGCAGTTTCTCCATGCTATTTAAGTGGTTTCTTCCTGGTTGCTTGCAATATTTTCCCTTGACTTGGGAGCTCTGAAATTTGGCTATAATATTTTTAGAACTTTACATTTTGAGATCTCTTTCAGGAGATGATTGGTTAATTCTTTCAATTTCTTGTGTACCCTCAGATTATAGAATATCAAGGCAGTTTTCCATGGTAATTACTTGAAAAGTGATGTCAAGGTATTTTTTAGATATTGCCTTTCAAGTAGTCCAACAATTCTCAAATTATCTCTCCTGGATCTATTTTCCAGGTCAGTCTTTCCTATGCTATTTCATATTTACTTGTATTTTTTCATTTTTAAAATTTTTTATATCTCATAAAGTCATTACTTTGTTCTTGACTATCATCTGTGTACATAATTTAAATATAAATTCATTTGGAAATTATTTATTGCCCATCAATTGATGTCCTGGGTCTTTTTTCAAAAGATAGAATGGTATTTCATTCATTTCATATTTTCTAGAACTTAGTACTCTATCTTTTATGTATTAGGTAATGAACAAATGCTTGTAAATTAATTAATTACTTGATTTATTGGATCCTTTGAAACATGGACCAAGTCATTCCCTCCTGACCATAAGAATTAAAAAAAAAATTCAGAGCTAGGCGGTGCAGTAGATAGAGCACCAGTCCTGGAGTTAGGAGGACCTGAGTTCAAATCCATTTTCAGACACTTACTAGATATGTGATCTTGGGCAAATCACTTAACTTCAATTTCCTTTAAACAAATAAAGAAATCAGTTAATGAAAAAATAGAAACCCTGTAACATTTATTGCCTCACAAAATCACTATTTTCCAAAATGCTATGGACCTTCTGGAGTCTAGACTCTTTGTATGACAAGCCCCTTCAAAGAATTTCTTTTTTTTTTAGACCCTTCACTCTGTGTGCAGTGAGAGCTGTGGACCTGGATATAGGAAATCTCCCTGTGAGGGACAGGCCATCTGCTGCTTTGACTGTATCCCCTGCCCAGTGGGGGAAATTTCTAACCAGACTGGTAACTTTGTGCAGAGAGATTTGCTCCCTTCCCATATCTTATAAGAAAGAGTCATGTGTATAGGGGGGAAGGAGAACAATATTGGCATAGATCATGTCTATGGTCTATGTCCCATATAATTCTCATTTGGGGCACATGTGGGGACACTAGTGTAAAAACGCCAGAGATGGGGACAACCAAGCTAGGAAAACAAAGTGGTCATTGCCAACAAAATACTGTAAATGAGAACTTTGAGTTATAAAAAATTGAATGCCTTGCATTGTAGGGTTGTGTTTGTGATGCTCAACTGTAGGCTTAGGGGAAAGCTGAAAAAATCACTAACTAAAGGTAAATAATAGTAGTATACATATGGGCAGAATTTTATACCTAAAGATTAGAAAATGACAGTAATTGTTCATAAAACCCTGTTAAGTGTGTAGGAAAGCACAAATATCCTTTTTAGGGGAATATTCACTGATCTTTTGTTGTACAATACCCAACTTTCACCCATTATTCATCACCTCTGTCCTCCCAGAAAGGCATACAATATAACCACAATAATTTTTAAGAAAAAAAAAGGAAAGAAAGAAAATAAGGAGGAATGGAAAATCAGTAAAATAGATCAATACATCACAAATATCTTAAAATGTGTGCAATGTCATGAATGTTTAGGCCTAACCCTATCCTCTGCCAAAAATAGGTTGAGGATGTCTTCTCATATTTTACATTTTACATTTACTTGCAAAATTTCTGTACCTTAATATGTGGTAATTGTTTTTTTTTAATTCTACATCTTTCTGGGAAAATGTGCATATATCATCAAACATGATGATTTGAAATGTATCTTGTCTTTTTTTCTAGTTTATCCAGTAATTTCTTCAATCATTTATCCATTGTGTTCAGTGTTCTGTTAAATTTTTTTAAAACAAAAAGAGTGAAATGAAAGTCTATAGCTATTTTTGCTTCATTTTTTCTTCTTTGAATTAATTTCATTTCCCTTCATGATATTAGATGTGAAGGCATTTAGTCCAAAGACACTGAGTATTGATGTTGCTGTGTTTTCCATGGTTCTATTCAGGACAATGGAGGTTCTGTGCTCATCTTATTTAATATTGAAATTTTCCATTTATTTCATAAAATGGTTTCAAATATTATATTTTTTAAATTTGTCTTACACATATTTTTCCAGGTCTCCATTTTTATTATGTATATGCATTTGTTTTTAATGTGTTTCTTTTAATAAACAGATGGAATTTTTCCCCATCCAACATTTCACCTTTTCTTTTTCTACATAGTAATCTAATTAAGCTTATTTTATAACAATGTAATCTAACAGGATATCATATATGATATATTGTGCGATGTGATGTGATATGATGCAATGTAATATGCTATGGTATAGTGGACATCAACTTCCACAGTGTATACAGTGACATCTTTATTGTCAATGAGACCTGAGTTAAAATCTGCCCTCAGACACTTACTATGTAACCCTGAGTGAGTCAATTAACAGCGTTTGCTCACTTCCTTATCTGTAAAATGAACTGGAGAATGAAATGACAAACTGCTCTAGTATCTTTGAGGAAAACAGCAACAAATGTGGCCACAGAGAGTAAGACACATCTCAAATGAATCGAGATCAACAATGTGCTGTAATTAGGGTGATCATTTTAATATCCCCTACTCTAACCAATATTTACTAAGTTCATTGTGATTTGATGGGTATCAGTGATTGTATTACTGAATTAAGGAGAATAGGGTAAAATTTAAGTTACTCATGCATATTAACACTATCAGGATATGAATTATATGTTAGGACCAAATAACTTCTTTTTATATTAGTAATATTGATATTTTGGATTAGTTATATCATTGTAGGTTATTGGATAAAATCCTATGATTGTCTTCTATAGAGAATCGTATTTCATTAACCCTGAACCTTGTTATAGCAGCATCAACAACCCTCATCCCCTATGAATCATTACAATGGCTTCTTGGTAGCATTTCCTCTTGTCTACAAGTTCCTTAACTTCTAGGATCCTGCTGACCCAAACATCAGTTTATTGACCTTCTAGAAAA